ATTTGCAATAAGAAACTACGCTTACCCATCGACAGCCGTACTTTATTGCAAACACCAAGAGCTGTAAGAGTGACACATATGGGACCAGATCCTGATGGACAATTTTGGTACCAGGGACTAGAAACATCTTTAGTAAATAATATGATGCAAAATATCGAAGAAAACTCTTTGTCGTGTATCACTTCTGTGACATTAAATTTCAATTTTGATGGATTACCGGTGTACAACAGCGCAAAGTATCAGTTCTGGCCAATTTTAGCTTCCGTTAAAAATATACCTACTTTGCCACCAATAATTGTTGGTATTTATTACGGCCAACACAAGCCGAATGTACAAGAATATTTGGCAGAGTTTGTAAAAGAATTAAGTACGATTTTGAAGAATGGTATAAAAATTAAGAGCAATAATCAGTTCATAGCTGTAAAAATTGGATGTTTTATCTGTGACTCCCCTGCAAGAGCATTTATAAAAGGTAAATATAATTTTATAAACAGTAAAAAATAAATTTCGCGCATATTAGTACTATAAGATTTGCAACATTATATAAAAGTTAATACATTTTTTATTTTTGACAAAATTTTCTATGACTATAAAAAGTTGTTTTAGACATTATTATTTTTTAAGTTACACAAACTGTATTTTTATTTAATTAAACGCATTTTTAATCATGCAAAAATATGGTCATAAAAAACATTCAATTTTATTTGTACAAGTTTTGTAATATTTATAAACGCGTTTTTATAATGAAAATAAAAGAAACAAAAACCAATTCTCTATATTATTTTTATAGGTACTGTGAACTATAACCATCGACAAGGTTGCACCAAATGCATAGCAGAAGGACAGTATTTTACGGAAGGTCATCATATGAGTTTCCCTCGTATAGATGCAGAACTCAGAACTGATGTCAGTTTCCGGAACAGACTGGACGAAGATCATCATAAAGAGATCTCTCCTCTTGAAGAACTGCCTATAGATTTAATCAATGATTTTGTAGTGGCTGATTCATTGCATTTATTAGAATTAGGCATTATGAAGAAG